AATGTCACTTTCGGTTGATATGAAAATATGGTATTAAGATACTTTAACATTTTAACTTTAAAATAAGTGCAAAATATGATACTTCCGGTTTACACTAGGTCACTTCCAGTAGACCTTTTTTCAAGATGATAGGTCGTCCAACCTAATGAAAAAGGCCTACATGGCTTTTTGATGTACCAAATTACCAATATGAAGTTAAAGCAAAGGTCAAAATCTAGATCGTCAAATTTAACTTTGATCTTGACCTCAATTTCAAGATCGAAGTTCAAAGATCTTATATCAAAAGACCCCTGGTCGGTCCCTAATATGTATGTCTATCCTACCAAACAGCTTATTTTGAATATTTAAGAGGAGAAAACTCCTATAGAAAATAACCGGAGCACTTCGATCCAACGTTTTAAAGAAGCATCATGTCGCAACTCACAATTTGCCAAGACTTTATCTTGATAAATTTTATGGTTTCTGAGGAATTGCGATAACAAGCTCACTTCATAATTTAGAACCTGACCTTGACTTCAATTTCTTGCTTACCGACCAAGGACCTCTTATCAAAGCTTCTAGGTCTTAATGACTTAAGGTTTTTGAATTACCCGACATACCACTCATTTCAAACACGAAAAGGGAAATAACTCTCATTACATATAACCGGGCCGCTTAGGTCATCCTCAGTAATCAACGAACATTATTTCTTGGCAGAAGCGATAACGAGAAAAACAGTTTACGGGGAGATAACTCCCATAAAGAAAAGTTTTCGATTAGAAAGGGTAAGTTACATACGATCTAATCGACATGCATGTTGCAAAACGAAAATCAAAAGGTCTGTACGACCGAATTATCCACTGTAAAGGAGTAAAAGTATTTGAAGCTAAGCGTTTTTACTGAAAAAAGTTGCACAGAATCATGCCATTTTCATATGAAATATATATTTGGTTTTTCTAAATGGTTGTTAATCACGAATCAGGTATGGAAAATGACAAATTGTGAAATACTATCTCTTCCGTATGATATTCTGAAAAGTGTCAATAATTATTAACCCTACATGTACTTTCTTAAATGTTTAAATAATGAGCATATTTTAATCAAATTTTTGCATAAACATATCATCAGCGACATTTACTACCAATTTCCTCGTCAAAATTACTCCATCAGGCGCCCCTGATGTAATCTTAAACAAATTAAACTAACAGACTACGTATTAAATAAATCGAAATGCGAGTGTGTTCCTGTCATATTTATTCATTCCTAGATGAACAAGAAAGCAAGAGCTAACAGATGATTGAAGATCTATTCACGATAAATTAATTACTGATATTAAGTAAGAAAACTAAGCAGTTGATATACAATTCCTTCCAACTTGCATCTACTAATTCCCATCTGCTGTCACATATGCTATTAATAGTAATTATAATATAGGATACTTCCTCTAATAAATGCATTTAAATTGAAATTCCTGTCAAGAACATAGTAAATGCTTCGTTTCTGATCTGATGGATTAAAAGAGACAAATAATAATAGTCTACCATTTGACATATGAAACGATTTCCTTTGATCTGATTCTCTAGGAGCGTCAGCCTATTATGAAAGTCAAATAACTGATGCAAAAACAAACTCAAAACTTAATAGCATCTACTGAATACTGAACCATACACAGTTATCTTAGAACAGTCAAATTTGATGCAATTTTGTTAACTCCTTATATCTTCATGGTTAAATTACCTTCCACTAGAATATAATTTACCTAAGCACAGAAGAATATCACACAAGTGAAACACCATTAATCAAACAATTTAAGATTAGGTAAAGAAGTAATTTTGTCCAAATAGAAAAAACAAGTTTCTCTTAATTTGTGCATAACGCTATATATCTGAAGGTCCACCGTTTTCTATGTGGGGAAATGCCTGTGCTGGGTTGGGAATATGACACTTGTTTTCCATTCGTTTGCGTTCGGGCTTTGTTTTGCCATATCATAGAGGATTTTCCGTTTTGAATTTTCCTTGGAGTTCTGTATTTTTGTTATTTTACTTTTTTTTAAACAATACTTCCAAGATATTATATTTATGAATACTTTAAAGTACAGTCCTTTTTGATAACTTTTCCAAATTCATTGGATATAACAACCTTAGATTTGTATAAATTAAATGAGAAGTTTCATTTTGAATAATTCTGGTATTAAAACAACACCACCTGCATACATAAGACACGATACTTTTCTGCTGGCAATGGTTGTGGGATCACATAAGTTATCCAGAATTAGATAAGGAGATGTGATATGATTGTCAATGAGACAACCAACCAAATGAAGCGGGTTTAAGCATCTATAGATCACCGTACGGCTTTCAGCAATGAGCAAAACCCATATAGTATAGTCAGCTATAAAAGGCTCCGACATGACAAAATGTGAACGAATTCAAACGAAAAAAAAAACAACAAAACAAAACAAAACAAAACAATGGCCTGATTAATAGAAAAGCAATAAACAAAAAACAAATACGACAGACAGCAACAACGACAATCACTGAATTACGGGCTTCTGACTTGGGACAGGCACATATAAAATGAGGCTGGGTTCAACATTTTTGTAAGCGCTCAACCCTTCCCCTAACCAGAGATAGTGATGTAACAGCACAGCATAAGAACAGACTGTAAAAATCAGTTGAAAATTGCTTGACTCATTATATCGGCACGATGCAAAAAAAAAAACAACAAAAAAACTACAACAAAAAAAACGAACATAAAGACAATAGACGCAAAGAACCGATCTTAGAGTACTCGCAGTTACTGAACGCTAGTTGACAATGACAACTAATAATTAAATCATGTTCTCTCAGACTAAAGTATCAGTCAATACACACCAAATATCCGTTGGATGTTTACTAATTGATAAATATCCTGAACATAATTATCAAAAAGACTGTGTACTGAATAAATAAATATCCTGAACATATCATTAAGAGACGAGGAGGTAGAGGGCTTAAAATACACCCTTGTTTGCTCCAATACTTAGAAAAAGACTTGTTTCTATTTCTGTAATTCAAATTGCATATTTGACTCCTTTGCACATATTTTAAGAATATTAAAAAAAAACGAATAAATTGAGATTATATAATAAGATAGTTTATATACATGTAGCAATGTTTCTCTATTGACTGTACCAAAAGAATTCCTTAAATCTGTAAAACAAATATTCAACGATTTAGACAATTAGCTTTATATATAATAGATATTCCAGATTTAAGATAAAATAACTAGTTCAAAAAAGCTTTTAAATCCAATTTGTTAATAAAAAAACCCAAACAATTAGACACAGAAACTCCTCTAATAAAAGAGGTCACTGAAGCGTCCTCCTATGACAATTGGATTTATAGAGTTTCCCTTCCATAAATCAGGATGAATTCCTGATTTGAAATAGCACACACACTTGTTTTGCCTTCTGGGGAAAATGCGTTTTCAGTTCTAACTTCATTCAAATAAAAAAAAAATATACATACATCTATATAATGTTTTAGAAAAAAGCCAAATCGCTAGAATGTAAATGAGTATGTAATGTTGGATAAATCAATAAATTTAGACGAAATATGAACATTTTAACCTTTTGGATACAAAATACCTAGACCGGTAAATATAAAAGTAAACCAAACCCTCCAATCATATCTTAGTTTGAATAATTATTCAAATAAATATTTCAGAAGTAAAATTCCTTTAGCAGGAAAATATGATCTTCATATTTTAGCTCAAATCCTCTATGGGTTTTAGAACAAACAAACGGTTTACGTCTGTAATGTCTGTTTCCAGATTTCTGTTAACGAAAAAGAGTAAAATTTCAACAAGATCTCACAAATGTAAATCCCATAAAACAAATTTGTGTTACATCGAAATCTGAGTCGTCTAACTGAGGTCACACTGTAGTCTTATTCTAAAATACGTTTCTTGTGTGCTAGAAACAGATATTATCATTATCTAGGAATTTGTCTATACATTTCATTTTTAAAGTTTGAATACTGTTTGACTCTGTTAAAATTCTTTGTCGATTTATAAACGGACTTGAAACAAAATGAGCCAGTTTGATATTTACTGACTGATACTTTAGTCTGGTAGAATATAATTTATTTATTAGTTGTAATTGTCAACTAGCTTTCAGTAATTGAAATGTTTCATATTTTTTTTATGTCGGGTCCTTTTATAGCCGACTTTACGTTATGGATTTTTCTCATTGTTAAAGGCCGTACGGTTGCCTATAGCTTACATCCACTTCATTTGAACTTTGATGGATAGTTGTCTCATTGGAAATCATACCCCATCTCCTTATTTTTATATGAGATGGAGAAATGTGATTAATGTCCTCTCAGTATGAATTAATATGATTTTATTGTCAACAGCAAACGCTGAACAGATACATGCAGACCTTTTAACGTTTATTTCTGTCACAGCGTCAGGCCGGACGTTCGGCCATTGTTTTTCCATTTACCAATTTTTCTTTTCATGATTGATTTTTTTCTAAAGTCAATTGAATTCGGTATTTACTTCCCTATGAAGTAAAACGATAATTTTCTACTTCTCGGTCACCTGTTTGATTTCAATAAAAATTTAATGAAATTTGACACAGACTTAATGTACTGTTTGAATGGCGACCGGATATTGTTGAACCGGTTGTAATTACACAAGTCAGTTGCCTAGAACGAACAGTTACTTAAACTCACTTTTCACTAAAAGAGTCATTTTCTCCTTAAAACAACTTTAACCGTTTTTGTTGGTTATTTGCCGCTTTAGATAAATTATTTGTTTTCAAGCTTGACAGTAGCGCAGCTAACGAAACTATATGTCAGAAAACAGAAGTCAACCGGTATAACAAAAGCAATAACATGCAATTGAAACAAAAGAAAAAGTAACTATTACACCAACATGAAAGCATGTTTTAGTGAATAACTTCTGTGTTATGTTTCAGTGTCATGTTACAACATATTAATGCTTTGTTAGTCAAACGTACTAGTTCACTTTTTCAGGATCAATGCTAGGAAAATTAAAGAAACGAAATTACGATACGCTACAACAAACATTACGGAAACATCATGGTTACTATAGATACAGACCAGATAATTTTATAGATAGGTTATTTCAAATGTTTGACAGAAATGGTAAGTATCTCTATGTGTATCGTATGTGAATAAAGGAACAACTGCATTTTATGTCTTATCCTTACTTGTGTTAACGTCGCTAATTTTAAAGACATTGGTCAAGTTATTTGTTTATCGGAATTTTATATTTGTATATATATCATGGAAAAGGTAACTAAGTATGTCTGGAGTTCATTAATAACATTGTACAAAATATTACAAGTGCATTTTGATTACCAATATGCTAACATATCTGATTTTTAATTTATCTGTTTAAGGAACATTTCATGCATGTTAATTAAGGAAGACTGTTATATAACTCAGTGATTTATCGTTACATTGATAAAGCCACTTGATTCTAAAGTCTATTTCTTATTACTATTAAAGTCATATGAAACGAATTTTTTTGTAATTTTAATGTTTTCCAAATAATTGAACCAATGCATGCATATATACTAAACTCAGTCCTGTATGCATGTTTTTTTTTAAATTTATTACGAATTTATAACGTATTATCGACAAATAATATTTCAATCAGTGATTGTTGTTAGCAAGCTAATTAACTTTAGAGTCTGTTGCCGAAGTTAACCGGATTGGGACATTGATAAACAATCATCACAGAACATGTGGAGCACATAAGATATAAGTGAATTGACAGAGCCATGCTTTTTTTTTATCCGTTCCAATTTAATTTTGTTCTTTAAGAATCAGTAAATTGTCATTAACCATCCAGTGCACGTTTGTTTACATTCTTTAATCACGCGTTCCCCTCGCACTAGCGCTGTGCGGTGACCGAAGTTCTAACGAGATAATACATACGGGAAAATATCGGCGAATTAGTATACGGCAAAGCAGTGATTCAATAGCAGTACATTTATGAAGATTTTGATAATATAAAGGATTTTTTTTTACAATAAAGTTCACGTACACTTGTTTCATAGTAAAACTTAGCCATTCAAGTATATAAAAGATATTCAATTAAAAAAAAGAAGTTTCATATAATCGAATGGACAATTGGTCACATTTTTTGAATTCTTAACTTTTTGTAAATATAAATCTTGACATCAGTGTTATGTGTACTAAAAGTAGTTTATCCTTCACTGAAAATATAAATGTACAAATAAACGTATGCATTATTCTATAGTGTACTAATATCGTTTCCAGACATCCTGCTTCAATTAGGAACGAAAGGCAAGATTCTAATTGCTTTACACAACAATTCATTTTGGTGTCATCTTCGCATGCTGTGTCCAAGCAATGCAGATTTTTAATGAAATAGACATTGGTTGAAAAATAAAAAAAGAAAACATTTGAGGAAGAGTTTGCAGTGTGTAAAATATGCGTTCAATGTCGAAACATTTGTCGTATATTTCTCATTTTGTAAATTCGAAAAGATGTTATAGATATCATTAAGTTGAAACTTTCAAATTACAAAATAAAAAATATAACACAAAACCTTTATTTGTAATTGGTACGGAACATACATTGTAAGAAGAGATCGCCGAGTTTCTAAACCTTGTACACATCAATTTTCCGACACTGCACGTATATTATAAAGATAAGAAGATGTGGTATAATTGCCAATGAGACAACTCTCCACCAGAGACCAAATGACGTAGAAGTTAACAACTATAGATCACCGTACGGCCTTCAACAATCAGCAAAACCCATACCGCACAGTAAGCTATAAAAGGTCCCGAAATAACAAATGTAAAACAATTCAAACGAAAAAACTAACGACCTGATTTATGTGCAAAACAATAGACTAAAACAAATATGATATACATCAACAAACGACGACCACTCAATTGCAGGCTCCTGTCTTTGGACAGGCACATAATGTGGTGGGGTTAAAAATTTTTGCTGGCTCCAAACCCTTCCCCTTGTATATTTATCTATTTCATTCAGTAAAAGTAATTGCATTATTTTATTTTAGGGTGTTCACACTTTATGTACATGTCCATATATCTAAAGTGTCGTTAGATTTCCATAAACATACATTCTTCTACAATGAACGGGATTCAAAATCGTTCTTATTCCGTACAAGTAATACATGATATAACGACAGCGACTGGCGAGATATGTAGTTGTCACTCTTCTTTTTCAGATGATGGTTGTATACAGAAAAAAGAATTCGAAACAATAATTGGCTTCATCATTTCGTAAATGCTAAACTGAATAAATCAACATTCCATAACTGTAAACATGGAAGCAAAATCCAAATGAAGTCCAGATTACAGTTATAAAAAATCCGGTAGATCAAAGTACATGGATTTTAAACATAAAAGGAAAATTCTTTTTCTAACATTATCTCTAATTCTTTGCTACTGACAGTGAATGGTGTAAAGATCTAACTAATCTGATATTGAAGAATATTTTAGTGCTTTATAGAACATTGGCATATTTTTAAGCATCTAAAAAGGATTCCTTCTATATATATGTTATCAAGTCTAATGCAAAAATAAATTATGGCTTCTGGTTATTTATTGGAGATTTTACCATGCCCATATTTTCGTAAACATAGGATATACCCATGATAAAATCTAAAATAAACCAAGAAATGTCATAAATTATATCGAATCTTATAGAATAAAGAGCATAAAATGTGTACCTTTAGGTTCTCGCAATACAATGGATATTTCTGAACAGACCGCAAAATTATAAAAGCTTGAAGATAGCCCAAAAGCGCAATTTTGAAAGTTTTTTGTAAATATTAAATATGTGTCCCAAAAAAGTTCAGGAAAGGTGTCGTATACCTAAACCAAAATTCTGTAGGAATCAAAGCTATGTACAATCTTGAGGATACATTTTACGTCATATTGGTTAGCGACGTCCTTCCATGCAAAATTTGTCAGATATATACACGTAGAATTTGCAATTTTGTAATGAAATTAAAAAAATTCGACAACATTAGGTATCATTTTGACTGACAGGATTGGAGTAAGAACAGGCAATTGACTCACTTAACATCTGTTTCTTAATGTATGTGTTCTTAAAATATACCGTCGAAAATTACTTCTGTAAAATCGGATTCATGTTATAACCGCCACCGTAAAATGTGTATGTTTACTAGCTTGATAGATAACATTTTTAATTGTGAAACATTACTTTTGTATTTAAATTGTCATTTCTTGCGATTTTCAGAATTTTAAACAATATAAAACGGTTGTACCAAAATATTTTGGAACATTGTCCGATATAAGTTTATCGAAAAAGTTCGGGTTTAAACGTATATTATATAAAACGACGTTCTTGTTATAAAACATTTTAAAATCTTAATATATATATATATATTTTTTAAATAAACTATTTCATTTATTTGCATGTCTGTTTTCGATATACAGAATAAACCTTTTCAGCTAAAATCCACTCGGTCTCAATTTGGTTGATAACGTTTCATTTTGTCAGTTTTTATAGACGTTCCCTTTTTAAATATACCTTTAATTTTATCATACTCTTTTTGTGAATATTCGAATTTCTTAACTTGTTTATGGAATTTTTAATATAGCTTGCTTAACAATAGGAATGTCACAGAAATGTAAATTAAAACACCCTAGACAGTTGTATAAAATGACATTTGATAATGCTATGACCGGACTATTTGGACTGTGCAGTGTGAAAATAGTTTTAAACAACATTTTATGAATTTAATTGTTTTAATGTATATTCTTGTTTTGCATTTATTTTATTATTCTGAACTTTGTCGTAAATTTAGGCATAAGTGTTTTACACGGATTATGTGTCATAATCTTGGACAAAGGACTTAAATTCATTTACTCTATTCATTTAATTACTTATTCTCTGTAACAGTTTAGACAATAATTTACTTATACGTGTCGGACATCAATTACTCTTCTAAACATTTGTTATTTCTATTTGGCATATGTTAATCATGTTAATCCTTTAATTGCTTGTGCTTATATATATTGTTATTGTTTGTATGTTACTTTACATTTGGTTTGGAGTTTGTTGTTCGGTCTTGCCGGACTGCTAAAATAAAAGTTTAAGGAGCGAAATATTCCTTCTTGATTTCCATTTAGCCGGAACGCCATTTTACCCGGCTATATCTGGTGGAGGACCCGGGCAACGCATCTATCGGATACCTTGTTCTACCTGTGAAGCTGATCCCCCAGCAAACAGAAAAATGGATACGCGGAGAACCAGAAATTTTGGCCGAGACTGGAGATACCAGATGTCTGATCATGGAACTACCTTTCAGACAAGAAATTTTCAACATATGGACAACTACCTATGTAAGTTTTGTGGAAAAACTGTAAACAATCAATTTCATTTTAGACATTGTATAGCAAAAACGTCATTTTGCTATAAGTGCAGAAGTTTTGGACATTACGCCAGAATGTGTAATTTTCACAGACAACCGGACGTGAAAGTTGTTAAGGTTAAATCGAAATCCAAGTTACGTCGTGACGCAGAAAGAATGAGAAAATTCAAAGAACAGAAAGCTATGTCAATTTTTCCTTGTGCGGAACTCAATACTATTGAACTGATGGACTTCTTTCCAACCTTAGATTATAATAGGGAATTTATAGATAACGTTAGACTCAGGCACGACCGAGTGAATTCAGAGAGAGTAAAATTTAAAATCAAAAGTGTACACTATGAGAAGAAGTTTAAAGAGTTAAATCAAAAGCATACCAGTGTTGTTAGCAATCTAGAAAAACTTCAAAAACAAGGTGCAGATGATAAAAAAGATATGGAAAAATTACGGGAACGCATTACTGATCTTGAAGAAGCTAATTTTCGGATTTACGATCAAAGATGCGAAGCAATCGACCAGCAATACCAATTACAACGCGACAAAGAACATATGCGGGATCGAATCACAAAACTAGAAGACGAATTGGACAATTTTCGAAATAATACAAGAGAAGATAATCATCCAAACCAAAATTATCGTTACAGAGGACGCCACAATCACAGAAGAAACTTTCGGAACAATTTTAGATGAACATTAAGACCCGGGTCGTGTCTTCAGGGGCCGCGGGAATATATGACTGTGCAGTGTGAAAATAGTTTTAAACAACATTTTATGAATTTAATTGTTTTAATGTATATTCTTGTTTTGCATTTATTTTATTATTCTGAACTTTGTCGTAAATTTAGGCATAAGTGTTTTACACGGATTATGTGTCATAATCTTGGACAAAGGACTTAAATTCATTTACTCTATTCATTTAATTACTTATTCTCTGTAACAGTTTAGACAATAATTTACTTATACGTGTCGGACATCAATTACTCTTCTAAACTATTGTTATTTCTATTTGGCATATGTTAATCATCTTAATCCTTTAATTGCTTGTGCTTATATATATTGTTATTGTTTGTATGTTACTTTACATTTGGTTTAGAGTTTGTTGTTCGGTCTTGCCGGACTGCTAAAATAAAAGTTTAAGGAGCGAAATATTCCTTCTTGATTTCCATTTAGCCGGAACGCCATTTTACCCGGCTATAATGCTACGAAATCTTATCAAATACAATGGAGTCATTATATAAATTTATCTTGGGTGTTGATCAGGCTACGACTAGAATAAACTGACAAAGGAAACTATATTCTACTCTGTGATGGAATAATACATGCTGTTATGTTCTATAATTATTATGCCAATATATCAATAAATAAACTTTAAATGATATGTTTATTTACAGTAATTTAAGAAACAAGTCAGAGTTATTTTCGTTTCCCCTTCCATGGAAACAGTTTAAGTAACATTGTTATGTTAATAGAGTCAAAATGTTCGTGGATTTGAGTCATTCAGTCCCTTATAAATCTCAATTTCGTTATATACCGTTCCATGATTTTCCCCAGCAAATCACATACTTGAAACGGACCAAAAACTTACTAAATAAGTGAACTCTATATGATCCGTTTGACGTCGGACAAGGAACCACATACAATGTAGCATCAGTCATGGGATGGATACACATAATACTTAATTTTCTAACTGTTTTAACTGTGAGGGTCTATGCGACCAAAATGTATTGATTAATCCAGCAAATGCAAGAATCAATCAGTTTTTGTTGGTTATTTGGGAGATACCTGAATATGAAATACCTCTTAATTTGACGCTTAATTCGTTTTGATATTGATGCAAGGTGCGATCACTTCAGTTCTAGTACTGCTAGAATGAAACATAGTTATAAAATCGCTCAGTTGTGATTCATTGATATTTTCAAGTATTTCATGATATTTTTCTCTCATATTCACCCCTCCGCCCGCATTTCATCCTATTTTTATTTTTTTTTTACCTTTAAAGAATGTCATACCATCTTTAAAAACACTTCACATATTCTTCATAATTTATTACAAGAAAAATATTGAATAAAGGTGGATACACTGTATAATGGTTTTACTACTTTTGGACAAGTTTAAATAAATCTGTCAAGAAAATCAACTAATCAAATTAAGAATAGAATGGCATTTTAGAATCTGAAGTACTCGTGTTCAAAACTTTCCAACGGCATAACGCATGAAGTTAAAGTTTATATGCATTTTGCTAGCGTATAAATTCAGTTAATTGTTGTTAAAAATGGATATTGTAAAACATTTTATCTTTTAGCTACATATTTTATATACTAACAACGCTATGTTTCAAATATGACCGTTGTCAAAGTTGATATATTAACATAAAATCTTATTTGCAGAAATTAAAACTGATGAACAATTCAATGAAGATTTCATGATGTTGCTGGATAATTTTGCCAAAATGGAGTCGATTCAATCTTTAGAAGGCATTATGAATGCCATGAACCCCTTAAATGTAATATACTATCGATCAACTACTAAGTATCAATATTGGTTCACATCCTCAAAAAGAAACGCCAATTTAATCGTCATCGGTCATGTTTAAAGTCCATGGTACCAATATTCAACTAAATATTATAACATTTCTTAGTGAACCCAGACATTAGGGATAATCATATATCAGACAAGGTTCTTTTAAACTATTAAATTTTTTTATTTCCATATTTTGTTTTCTTGATAATATTGTTTTCATGCCGTTTCGGAAGATCCCACTGAGTGTTTTAGTCCCCTTGATATTCTGGAGGAGGGGAAGGGCTATAGGAGGATTTTGAAAAGAATATTATGGCTTGAATTGGTAATAAATGAAAATAACTTTGCAGAATACAAATTGTGAAAGAATGTTATGTCCAACAAAATGCAGAACATTACAAGACATATTTGTTTACAAGAATGGAAATAAAATTTCATATGGCGAAATAAATAAGCAGTACTAGCAACAGGTAAAATGATAAAAAAAATCTTCCTGCACCTCCACCCCAGAAATCAAATGGTCGTCACCTTACGACATGGCTGTGTTTTGTTATGTATAAATATTTTTCATGTAAGTTGGTATTGATGGCACATTTTCTATAATCCCTGCTAAGTCTATTGATTTTTTAATCCTTTAATGCAATATAACTTTTCTTGAGTCAGAGCTTGACATATGGTAGATATTA